GGGATAGATATTGTGCAGATCTACTAAGAAGACGTTAGTGAATAGTTTAAGATTAATATAATGTACCCTGAAGCAGTCAGTGCGATTATAGCATGCCTGGAAGAGCAAATAAAATGTACCATAACTGATTTAGTTGAAACAGAACAGACCATCAGAAAATATATAAAATAAATTGGATCTGTCAGCTAACTTAAATTTAAAAAAATAAAGAGAGTTTTTGCCTTTAATTTGTCTTCCTTCCTCCCTGCCAATCTAAGACAATATTACCAGCCTTCTAGTATGAATTTCTCTTTTTTTGTTGTTGTTGTTGTTGTTGTTTTAAGTATAAATTAAACCAGTGGGATAAGAGACAGACAAAAAGTTAAAAGACACAAATTTGTTTTAATCTAAAATACTAAAATAATAATAATAATAATAATACATAAATAAATTAAAATAGGGTGCATTTTCAGAATTTTACCAGACTTCAGATTAAATAAATAATTAATAACAGTTAAAAAATTCGGATTTGAAAACAGCAAAACAAAAAGTCACATTTACAGGATCTAGTTTGTACTGTTTTAAGAATACACGATTAAATAAATACAAGATGGCTATTTTCGCAAAGCAAACAAAGCTATTACATAAGGTACAGTTTATAAATAACAAAAAAAAAACATTAAAATAATACAAATAACTTAAAAATAGCATTTTGCGGGAAAGGGAGTCACGGAAAAGCGGTGGTTTGTAAAGTTTGAGGTTTCCCGTCTTTCCTACTGTACTTTTCCATCTAGCAGAAAAAGCTTTTCTAGATTAGTGCAACCTGTTGGCTGCGGAGGGAAACTGCAATCAGGGAGACGAACAAATGCTCAGAGATGTTGTTTTACTTATTGGGAACTTTAAAAAATAAATAAATAAATAAATAGTGACTTCTGTTTCCCTGCGTGTTTAAGTGTGCCACTCAGCGCGCGGTCCTCAGTGCGCTTGTCACGCGCCACTGTGGACGCTCCTCATCGGCCTACTTGACAGTTTTTAACCCACCACCCCCCCTCCAGAGAGAAAGAAAAAGTAGCTGCACCTGAAAGTAGCCCTTACCTGTAGTAAGAGAAAAATATTATTAGGTCATCTCCTGTCTGCACAATTTTCCCCGAAATGAAACATGTTAGGCGGTAAAAATCGTCACTTCTTGCAGCGCTGGTGTTTCACGCTGAAATGCCAAAGCAGATCGCAGCGGCGTCTCTGACCGTGTGACAGGAAAACAATCTCCGCAATATTTTCTAACTCCGCCGCCGCGTCGCTCGAGCGCCGCTTCTTGGATCCGTCGACAACTTTTAATACGCCTCGTCAGCAGCAGGGGGAAGAAGGGGAGAGAAAAAAATAAGAGCAATAAAAGTCAGTCGCTCCCGATCCTTTGGATTAATCCATAACGAATCGACAAAAATGCGACTTGCAACGAATTGCCGCTATGAGCGGTTAACGAGCCGTGAGAACATTAAAGTTATATAACAGAGCCGCGGAGCAGTGGCCCACTCAGCTGTAAACTCAGACAGGGCGATCTATTAGTGTAGTGGCAGCAAGCTACCCGAAACTATCACTGCGTTTCCGCTTTGGTATTTCAAAATAAAAGTCGAGTGACTTACAGTGTCGTTTAAATACTTTATTCATGCTCTTAAACCCTATCGTTAATCCTAACTGTTATCAATGTAAAACAATGACCACATTCATATTCACGTTTTGCTGTTTTTTCACTCTGATCAAGATTAGGTTATTTTACTTTGAAGGAGCAAGACAGATATCCTGATTTGTTTGGAAAGCCTGTCAGGAGCAGCTTTACCTCACTATGAGTTTGGCACTTGGCGGTTAACGCCCCTTTACCCACTGAAGCTCAGTCTGCTGCGGAATCTGTCATCGTCACCTCTAACCTAAGAAGGTGGAATTTAGGAGGCCGAGCCCATTCAGTCAAACCAGAGCCGTTTCTGTCTTTTCAATTTTTATTTTTATGAAATAAACTGAGGCTGGGGATTCAACTGCCTTTGGATGAGGTCACACACATACTGTATTTCCTGTTTCTCCATGTTGTATTTCTTAAACAAACTATGAAGAAGATTCTTTTCACAGACAAGTTCATAAAATCTTAGTCTGTGATATTATATGATTCATAATGTAAAAATTTCATAGTGTTTATGTTTTTCTTAGATAACACTCAGTTTAAAAGGAGGTGGAGGAATCAACTTTTCTTACCAAACATTCCAATTTCAAAATGTTATAGAGATTAATGCAATATACCGTAATTGTTATTCACAGTGTTTTCACTGCGGATCCAGACATTAGAATTGAGAAAGCTTCCTGGAGGGGAAGCGAAACGTCTTCAAACTTTGGAAACCAAGCCCAGTGGATTGTTTTTAAACTTTTACGGAATGACTATGACCTGGATGACTGAGAATCTTCATCAGCATAATTGTTATTATACGGTTAGATTAAATCTTAAATGTCTAGTGAAATAGTGAGCAGAATCAATCACTCCTGTTTTCTTTTTGTTTGTTTTTTAAATAAGAAATAATCAAAAAAGCTATCCTTATTTTTTTGCTGACGTTCTTTAGAAGTGGTGTAGAATTTGTAGCAGTGGTTCTACGCATCAATACAGGTGGAACTTGAAAGTTACAAGGTTCTTTACAATTACTCTGAAATCAAATCAAATCATACAGATATTTACTGATAAGTCATTTTAAATTCGTGTACTTTTTAATACATAAGTATTTTCAAAAATGATTATTTCAATACTTTAACTTGAGTAGATGTTTGCCTGATTAACTTAAAGTTGAGTAAGATTTAACTATGAGTATCAATGCTTTTGCTGAACTTCTACTGTTGTGTACTCCATCCACCACTGCTACTGTTTCATCAGGCAGTTACTCTGACAGAAATACTTTACTTGCCCTGTTCTCATTAGGTGTTTCAATTAGAAAGATCAACTGGTGAATGACCTCACCGTTTCCCACATAAACAATTATCTTCTCTATAAACAACCATACAATGCAGTGGATTCAAACTTAATCCTCAGGGGCCAGAACCTGGCTTGATGAGTCTCGGGCTGAACTTACCCGAGTCAAATAGCTGAATTCAACATGTAGCTGAGTCCTACAAATTCCTGCAAATTACCACTAAACTTGTCAAGATCTGTCAAAGCAGATACAAATCTAAATGTTGCAACACTCCAGCCCCCCGGGGACTGAAGTTAGAGACTCCTAGTTAGAAGGTTCATAGTAGCGCATAGCGTTGGTATAAAACTACTGTTCCATTTTTAATATTGGAGTTTGTTTAAAGTTGCATTTTATTCGTCTCTTCCAGAGTAGCGCCTGTTTTTAAGCTCCATCTAATTTGGATTTAGATTATATTATCATACCAAGAGAGCCATCTTCTAAGGTAAGATTTCAAGTGATCATGCACCTTTTTTTTTAAGTTAAGATTTTCAAACCTTGATAGATAAAGGTACTGAAGGGTTAATAAAGTCTGTTTAGGCCTCCGCACTAAAATATTTCCTCAATGCACCAGATTGTATTTAAAGCTGATTTAAACATTTCATTTTGTGAATTTTGTTGTGAATTAATTATTACCCCTATTTAGGTACTGTCCTGTAACTTAATGCTAAGTTTAAATTTGAGGGGTGTTTTTTTTCCTCCCTTTTATGCTGGAATACAGGGTGCAGGGTCAAAGGGTAGGTCATCAGCAACCACCACTATGGAAACCTGAAACCTTATCCCTACAGCTAGTCCTACATGGTAACTCACTGCATAGATAATTAGCTGATAGGTATGGTTTCTGACTGAAGGGATCTTCCTTGAATAGTTCTACATTATTCAGCTGGTTAATAAGTGTAAGCGAACCAATATGGAACATGTACTCTGAATTCCCTCTTAGTTGCTTATTTACAAAGAGAGATGGGATATTATTGAAGCTATTGTGAAGATGCACTTTTCTAAGGTATTAATACTGTAACCTACAATCTTTCTTTAATGTAGGCCTATGACACCTTGCACAGGTATTTAATATTCTTTGTCGAAACAAAAGATTTAGGGGGACTTTATGAGGTGTAGAGAAAAAAATGAGTGAATAACTGAAGTGGAAAGAAAATTGTACAATAAAGCTTGAAATATATTGGAAATCATCTGCCAGTAAATTACATTGAAAATTGCAAAAGTAATACTAAATAAAAATGATTTTAGAAAATGGAAATCATGACATTGATTTTTAATATACTATGTATTCCTGCGTATATAATAATAATAATAATAATAATAATACATAAAATAAGTAAGTAAGCCCGATGGAGCTCTTGAACTAACATTTTGGGGCAACTCTTTGAAATCAGTTGTAATAAGTTTCTGTAGAAAATGTTAAGTAATACTTCTGCATCTGTTGACAGGACAGTGCAGATTTTTTGCAAGTTCTCCCACTTAGAAATCATGGAGGGGTCTGAAATTATAATCATAAGTGCATGTTCACTGGAGAGACATAATCTAATGAAAAAAATCCAGAAATCAAAATATATGATATTTATCTTTTTATTTGTGTAATGCAGCTGCGAATAAATATTTGAACACCTATCAGCTGCAATTCTGACCCTCAAAGATCTGTTAGTCTGCCTTCAAAATGTCCACCTCCACTCCATTTATTATCTTAATTAGATGTACCTGTTTGAGATCATTAGCTGCATAAAGACACCTGTCAACCCCATAAAATCAGTAAGAATCTATGTACTAACATGGCCAAGAGCAAGAAGCTGTCCAAAGACACTAGAGACAAAACTGTACACCTCCACAAGGCTGAAAAGGGCTGCGGGAAAATTGCCAA